CAAAGGACCTTCCCACATAAATTTTCTCTCCATTATACATATACAGTCAAAAGTCGTTAATTCGGACTCGTCGGGACTTCGGCGATTCCGGATTATCGATTTTTCCGAATTATAGATCATAAGTTTAAATCTGGTACGATGGCATGCAGAAATTACAAAATTAAAAATATAAAACCGTAATTTATGAAATAAAGAACAATTATGATCTAAAGGGTATCAAAATTTACAAAAAGAAAAAGCTTAATATTTATTTGTTTACTTTATTATACGTTTCTTTCAATGTAAGTTGCTTCGTTTCATGTGATAATACTTTCTCTAATTCTATTAAACAGACATAATTTCTTGTTCAGTTACAAAGTTCCGCTGTTCAAGTCCTATAATTGCTGTGTTGAGAATACCGACTAGTTTGTCAATCGAAATGTTTTCGTTTTCAATAACCTCTGGGTCACTTTCTTCACTATCGGAAGCGAATTATAATGACGAGGAACTTGATTTAAATCATATCAAAGACGGAGTACATCGAGATGAAATACTACACTTAGTAAGGAATTCTAAGCCAAATAAAATAAAAACATCTGCCCTGAAGATAAGGATAGTGCTGACAGATCAACTTCCAATCCGCGGCGTGAAATGATAAACAGATTTCGGATTTCGAAACATACTTTCGCTTTGTAGATACAAATTACATATTAGTAAATATATATCGGAAATTCTATTTGACATAATCGAAAGTTCAAACTTACTTTTATGAAATTGCTCTAACAGTCTGCAAATAATAATAAGCCGAATACAATTCAAAGATTAAGGAACAACGCAATCTGCAACATTAACTGAATTAGATAATTTTAGCTACACATTAAACGCGCATGCGCACAAACATATTCGCAGCCGTAAAGGTCTTACGCGCACTCGTAAACGCCTGTGCGCATGCGTGAACGCGACGCATGCGCAGAAAGTTTGTAGCTTTGAAGTCCGGATTATAGATCATTCCGGATTATGGGTGTCCGAATTAACGACTTTTGACTGTATAAATCAACTGGTTGAATGCTTTGGCATAATCAGTAAAGCATTACTACTTTCACGGTGATGTTTTATATAATTGCCTGTACTTGTGATGAAATGGTACTGTAGTTTGCGCTCACAATATTTTGTCCATAGTTGTTTTCTTCTTTATTAAGAGCATGTATAGTCCTCACTGTACCTTCATTTACTTTATCTTCAGAGTTGCTGTTCTTAATTTGACATTTTTATATCTTCTCTCTATTTTAACTATTTTTCCTCCTCTTTTTTTTTTTTCCAACTCCTTAAAGGATGGGTCTTTGGAAGAAAAAAATTAATGTGACATGTACTGTTCTCAAAGTGGGCTTTTCAGCTTTCTTGAAGACAATCTTTTTAGCTCCAAGGGTGCAATTTGCCCAGAAGGGCTATTAATTTTGTTTTGACATTTTGCATTGATTCACTATAAACAGCGAATCACTTTTTAAATTTTTGCCATCAAATATTAGAGCCCTGTATTATATTTAAGGAATCTGCATAAATGTATGTATGATTATCGCATTCTGATAAAACAACGGTACCTAGAGCCATCATATTTTGAATACTGTACGTCTCCACCCGAATTTGGAATTTGTTTTATTATTTATTTTATATTTTGTAAAGCATTTGTGAGTTTTTGATTGAGAAACTCAATGATTGGGAATTCGATGGACATGCTCTTTTAAATATTTGTGATATTGGTGTTGAATTGAATTTTATGGTTTAAGTGTGAAGAACATGATATTTAATAAATAAAGCTAACACACAAAATGTTGCAAAAATGCCCCTTTGGGCATAATATAAAATCTGAAATCAGGTTTTGTTTGTTTGTTATTTATTTCTTTTCAAAAGTAGTCAATGATTGATAATGCTCAGATAAATGATTTAGTGGTTCCACAAAGTGGAATTTGCTGTCTGGTTCCGGAACGAAACATGTGAAATAGTGTTAAGTTTAGGATTATGTATCCTTAGATTGCCAATAGATGGCGGTAGTGTTTGTAAAAAGAAACTATGATGTCATAATTATGTATATGTATCAGTTCGTCTTTGGTGTTCGTCAATAAACGTTGTGTAGAATAATGCTCCTCTGTTTATTGCTTTACATTTGATCCAGTCTGATTTATTAGAGACTTACACATATTTTGTTTAAATAGAGCTGATGAATTGTGAGGAGCTGATGAAAAGTGGAGGAGTAATTAGACAACAAGATGTCACTCAAAAAGTTGCACTAAATTTATTTGGTATGATACATAATTTGCTATTTTTATTTTCTTTTATATGAACTGCTGATAAATTCTGATTAGTCATGTAATATTTTGCTAAACTGCTTTGTGAAATTAGATAAGGTATGAGGTTTGCATATTAAAATTATTATACACAAATTTAAGAACATATTTCGTTTCTTAAATGAGTTGAATGAAAATTTTAAATGAGTGAATTATCTGTTTATTTGGTACATTCACTCTGCTAAAACAGATTACAGTATTTGGATTTTATTTGTGCCTTGTGATTTGGTGCAGTTTTCTTAATCATATCAGTTAAATTACTAGAGCAATTCAAGAAGGAGGCATATAGTGAGGTATAGTGCAATGAAATTAATAAATACAGAGCAGTGGAGTAGCAAGGATTCCAGCGCCCGGGGACAACTGAAGAATTTACGCCCCTTTCTGTGTGCCAAGAATGGAAACCATTTCATTAAAAAATTTCGTAGCATCAATTTGGCGCCCTCTGGATGCTGCGACCGGGGACAGATGTCCTCCTTGCCCAACCCTTGCTATGCCACTGATACAGAGATATTACATGATTCATACGTTTTAAAACGTTTTATTCTATAACACATTACAGATAAAAAATTATTACCACATGAAATGAAATAAAAGTTAATTAAATTTGACATAATACCATAAAGGTTCATTGTGTGTTCCTGTTGGTACATGACACACATCCACCGGGGTTCGAGGTTATTTAGAGGAAAGACGGCTACAATGTGCTTACTGACTATTTAAAGCAGAAGTAACTTGAATGTATCGGTATTATGATACATTCAAGCTAATTCGTATACTCATCGTATTAGTATTATGAACGTGAATAATTCGGTGTATTAAGCTCTTAAATATTTATCTAAGCCAGAAAAAATTTATAAATTTATAAGGTATTTCTGCTGCCTTCTTAGCATGCCTTCGTGGTGTAGTGGTCAGCATGCTCGGCGCGTAATCAAGATGTCCGTGGTTCGAGTACCAGTGAGGGCATTGCTCATTTTTCATGCCTTTTTCATGGCTCTTACGTTTCAGATGCAATTCGTCTCTTGACATAAAAGTACTCCAATAGTAGTCGCCCGATCTGCAAAGAGAAAATGCTTCTCGGCCTTTGAATGCTTCTAAAAGATTAGCCTTTATTCGAACAATCTTTAAACTGTACGGGTTGAAACCATTCTCGAATAAATTTCGTTCCCGCGAGAGGATACCTGAAAAAAGAATGATCTTCGGGTTTAAGCGTTGAAATGACCTTATGCAGACAATCATATTTATGATGAATATCATCTAAGTCGTCTCAAGAGTTATTGGTACCAACGTGAACCAAAACTAAATCAAATTGATATTCTATCAAGGTTAGGTAGTTTGTTTTCTATCTTGCGTGTCAACCTTTCAATCTTAGCACCCGGGGAAACAGTGAAAATGAACTTCGTAATCCAGTAAATTCAGAAATAAATATTTTTCTAAATATTTTATCATCGAATCTCCAATTATAAGTATCTTCATTCTTCCTGTTTGCTTAGAAAGACATAATAAAAATAACACAAATAACAAAACCAAATTAAGAATTAGCACGTGCAATCAAAACACTCACCGACGAAAATGGCGGAATACGATTTTTATTTTTAATACATTTACATAGTTGGCGCCAGTTTTCAGTTTGGCATGAAAATAACAACCCTCTAACCAATCACGGCAAAGTACACTTTCCCGTACACATTCCGCGTTTGCTGTACATAATTATGCAAACTCCTAAAAAACATTTTTATCTCCAGCTCGCGAGACTGTGTATCGGAAATTCTAATGATGTGCTCAATTTAAAATTATTTTGCGATATTGCTCTTGAACTGAAGTTTATGGTTTAAGTGCGAAGAACAGGATATTTAATAAATAAAGGTAATACACAAAATGTTTAAAATAATAATAATAAAAAAATAAAAAAAACCCCGCCCTTTTAGACGTAATTTAAAATATGAAACCTTTCAGATAGTATTTTCTTTTTTTTTTTTAGCAATTTTTGTGTTTTCAAGATGGGTACCTGTGTTAGAATACTTTTTTGACAGATTGTACGTAGATGAAGTACGTATATGTACTAGAAGAGTACACTATAGATGTACCTATAGATGTACCTATAGATGTAGTATCTTCTAGTACACTATAGATGTACCTATAGATGTAGTATCTTCTAGTACACTATAGATGAATCTTTTCATATAGGCACAGAAACATTCCAGTCCCTGTAACAGAAGAGTACTCATTACTGTCTGGTGTTCTGTGTTAGATTTTGGATTTGAATTGATCAGATTTGAAATAAATTGAAAGATAGCTTTCTGCGCAACGAAACTAGGTAAAATGTGGACTTTCGACTACTGTGGATTTCATAAATGAAATGGCATTGGTGTTTAATAGTTGGTGTAATGTATTATGTGAAACGAAAAGGAATAGAGAGAAAAACTAGAAATTATATTTGGCTAAAGATATATTTTAATACTAAAATCGCTGAACTTCGTTTCTCTGATATAGGGAATTTACAGGATTTTTTTATGTTTTTAGGGATAAAGAAGTAAGTATAGCCGTCTGCTAATCTGCTAAAAAACTAGTCTCTGATTTCTTTCTCCCTTAATATTGTATTAAAACCCCTTTGTATTAAAACAGAAACCTAGAGAATTTCACAATCATAGAAAATAAATTAAAAATAGTGTTTTCTTAATTGTGTTGGCAGCAGTTGCTCAGCAGTTGTCCTTCAAATTTTCTGTAAAATGCAGGCCGGCTTGTGGACAAAAATCTTACCCAAATGCAAGGTTTGCAAACATTTTGATTGCTGCTTAAATTTATTTCAATATATATTCTATATCCAGCTGCACTTTAATTCATAAGATTAGCTATATTTTGCCGTAAAATGTAGCAGTAATAAAGTTGCTTCACTAGCCAGATTTCAGATGGTTTTTGTAGAAGTGTTGTTATTGACGCAAATTTGTACCCCGAAAACCTGTGTAAAACATTTGCATTTCTGATTCTTATACTTTTCCAGCTCTGTAAAGTGTGTGATAATGGAAGACTTTAAATTATATGAACACATTTGTTGTTCACATAAATATGAAATGAATCATTATCTTTTAGGTTTTCTAATATTATTTTTCATTCTGTACCTAATTTATGTCTTAACGAGGTGTTCTGACTGAATCTAAATTGTTTCAGATATGTCTTTATAGTGCCAGTCATTAAGTGTGTAGTACAGAGTCAAGAAACATAGCATTCTGTGTTGTCATGTTCATTTATGTGACATGGTTTCTGCTATCCATATTTTACTTACGTTATCATTACAATGTTGTGTTTAAAATTATGTATCATATGCATGTATTATTGCTTTATCGTAGCTTTGTATTTTTCATTTTCTGTATCAAAGTTTCATATTTTATCAGCTAAGAATTTGTGTGGTTTTTTTTTAAATAAATATTACCAGAAAATTCTAGTTGTGCATGTTATAGCTGAATTTTTATAAAGATATCAATTTCAGATTTAATTTTAAAACTAGGTATTTTAAACTGTGGAACTCTAAACAGTGGTTGGGTGGAAGAGTATAGGTTGTCACTCTAGATATATGAATCTAAGGCCATAATTTGTAAATTGATATAGGTATAAAGTTTGTGTAAATGAAAAATGAAAGATTAACTTTCAAAGAAAATTCTAAATATTCACTTTACTTCTAAATTTGAAAACTGCAGAAATAATCTTTAATTCCGAAGCAGAATATAAAGTATTTTATACTTTTCCACATCCTGGTTGATAAGCCATGAAAGAGTATTGGTGAGGCAATGTACTTTGTCTCCAAAAAATACTTATGTGGTAACTCGCAATGCTGCCAAAATATTTATGTGGCAATCCAGGTCTGCATATAACACGTCCTCAGGTTGCTCTCTGCTTCAGACATTTTCACCAGTGGGACTACAGATTATAACCTCTTCTATGAGCATTTTAGCATGGCCATGGACCATCTGTTGCAGTTTTTGTCATCTTCAGTGAAGTCTTGCACACTTGCACTGTAATGTTTCACACATTTTGGAGACGTTAGGATTTTTTTTAAAGCAGGAGATAAGAAAAATTAGCAATGCCCTTGCCGAGACTTAACCGCAGACCCCTCGAATACGCTTCAAGTGTGCTGAACACTACACCACGAAGGCAGGAGAAATACCTTATACACTCCCCTTTTTAAAGGGTGACTGGGGATTAGGAGACCCAATAGTCAAATCCTGGTGGTGAAGAATCATCATCCACCACCTTTTTTAGTTCAGGCATTAGTGTAGAGACATTAGGATTTTTTTTAAGCAGGAGATGTTAAAAATGAGGAATACACTCGCCGGGACTCGAACCACGGACTTCTTGAATACACGTCGAGCGTGTGACCACTACACCACGAAGGCAGGAGAAATACCTTTTAATTTAAAGGCACCAAGCACCTCTTTTTTCCTTCTCATTTTACCATTTTTGTGCAATTCTGGGATGTTTTTTTAAGTGAAAATAGGTCCACGTGTACATGGATGGTACGTGTATGTGCAATTCTTAAAAATGCGTCAAGCAGTTTGCGATTCTGCACTTTCTCCCAATGTCGCACCTAATCTTCATCATGATTAAGCATTTTTGTTCCATAAAAGTTCTAGTCTAAGCTTAATTCGGCTAGCAGATTGTTGGAAAAAATGTTGAGAAAGAAAAAAAAAAAAAAAAGCCTTTACTTCGTGAAAACAAAATGGCGTCCAAAAAAAAAATAACTAGCAGGTTGCTGTAGCAGAGTTGGTCGCCAAATTTTCACCAAAAAATCGTAAAGTTACCATAAACCAAAGATTAACCCATGCTTCAGTTGATAGCTTAGACAGAATATGTTATTGCCACTAAACATTCCTTAAATATCTCTTATTTGTATTTGTGTAATATATGCATAATGTCTTTGATATTTGTGTAATACAGTCAAAAGTCGTTAATTCGGACACCCATAATCCGGAATGATCTATAATCCGGACCTCAAAGCTAAAAACTTTCTGCGCATGCGCCACGTTGACACATGCGCATAGGTGTTTACGCGTGTGCGTAAGACCTTTATGCGCATATGCGTGTGCGCAAGTGCAGAATACGTTTTTGCGTGCGCGTTTAACGTATAACGGACAGTATAAGCTAAAATTATACAATTATCTATTTCAGTTAATGTTGATGCTTGCGTTATTGCTTAATCTTCGAATTGGATGCAGCTTATTATTTTTTGCAGACTGTAAGAGCAATTTTATAAAAGTAAACTTGAACTTTCGATTATGTCAATTTCCGATTCTGGAGCTCCCAAAGGATCTACAAAATGAAAGTATGTCTCGATGTCCATCAAACAAAAAGTGGAATTGCTGCAAAAAATGGATAAAGACATGAAGAAGGTGACAGAGAGGTTAGTGAAAACGAAAAAATTTCGATTGACAAGTTAGTCGGTATTCTTGGCACAGCAATTACGGGACTTGAACAGCGGAGCTTTTTGACTGAACAAGAAATTATGTCTGTTTACAGAATTAAAGAGAAAGTATTATCACATAAAACGAAACAACTTACATTGAAAGAAATGTTTAATAAAGTAAACAAATAAATATTAAGCTTCTTTTTTTGTAAATTTTGATACCCTTTAGATCATAATTGTTCTTTTATTTCCTAAAATACGGTTTCATATTTTTAATTTTAGAATTTGCATGCCATCTTACGAGATTTAAACTGATGATCGATAATCCGGAATCGCCGAAGTCCCGACGAGCCCGGATTAACGACTTTTGACTGTATATGTATTATGCTTTAAAAAATCTTACCGTGTTTATTCACGTAATAGATGCCCTCGTGTAATAGTTGCAACCCTGTTTTGAAGCAAAAAGAATTGTCAGAAGTGTACTATGTTGTGCAGTAGATTTCCCCGCATAATAATGGCACCTAGACTTTCAAAATGAAAAATTGGCAAAAAACAATGTAATTAAGATTTGTTTTAATTCATAAAATGTTTTTGCTCTGATTATATAACTATAGGATTAGAGTAGATTGAAGGGTGCCCCTTATGTGATTGCGAAGTTGTTGTTTCATTTATGATAACCTGAGTAGTTGCATGTTATGGAAACTACTATGACGTAATCGATTGCATGTTGCCGTAAATTTTGAATGACTGGAAGAAGATTTGTAAGGGCTTGTACTGTATGTTCGTTAGGAAGTACATTGCTTGTTTTGTGGTTTAGAAGGTAGAATGGCTGATTGTTGTAAGATTAATTTGAATTTCTGTGCAATTCAGAATGAAAGAGGGGAAAATTCATTAAATGACTATTGTGTAAATGAAGGATTAATTAATAGTCATTATAAGTGTCCTGTTTGTAGGAAGGAAATGTGTATGGTTGAACGTCAGAGGATATTTTTGACTCTTATTTTTGCGAATTTATGTGGTGACGCCGATATACACATTCTAGTTCAGATAATTTTAGTAAGTTTTTGAATGCTGTTAAGGAATTTTGTGTGCCATATTTCGAAGGATTCGGAAATTTCTAAATAATGTATGTGGATATTCGCTTTGTGTAGTGCTTAGATGCATAAGATGAATTTCCTTTTTATGTTATTTTATTTGTTTGATTTAAAATATAGTTTATTGAGATTATGTATTTTTTGTTTGGCTCTGCTGTAGAATTGTGTGCTGCTTTGACTTAAGTGAAAATAGATCAATGTATACATGGACAAAGTCAAGGGAGTACTCAATGCCAAATTTGCGCAATTCTCTGTTTTTTTTAAGTGAAAATAGGGTGATGTATACATGGATAAAGTCAAGAGAGTGTGCAATGCCAAGTTTGTACAATTCTCTAATTTTACGTGAAAGTAGATTTTTGATGACTACAAAAGCCATTTGCAAGATAACTTGAATTGTTTATATCTTTATTATAGTGATATGTACGTATATGAGATTTTGGTATGCCAGCAGGTGTTTGAGCAGATGTATCTAGATATATGTTTAAATTGGAATATGAATAAAAGTAAAAGGCTTGCTCTGCCATCACTAGTTGGCGTAAGAAAGAAAGAGCAAGCTCGCTTGTTCAATGCAAGTGGTGGTTAACTCATTAGATGCATCTTTGTAATATTTTGTGCGCACTCTCTGATACTCTTCATGTGTTTGGCAGTTATATCATCATCATTATTATTATTAAGGTATATTTATAATTCATATAAATAATAATATGGTCAAAAGTCTTTAATCCGGACTTCCATAATCCGGAATGATCTATAATCCGGACCTCAAAGCTAATAACTTTCTGCGCATAATACGTTTACGCGTGCGCGTTTAATGTATAACGGACGGTATAAGCTAAGCTAAAATTATCTATTTCAGTTAATGTGCAGATTGCGTTGTTCCTTAATCTTCTAAATGGATCTGGCTTATTATTTTTTGCAGGCTGTTAGAACAGTTTTATAAAAGTAAGCTTGAACTTTCGATTATGTCAAAAAGAATTTCCGATTCTGGAGCTGCCAAAGGATCTACAAAGCAAAAGCATGTTTCGATGTCCATCAAACAAAAAGTGGAATTGCTGCAAAAAATGGATAAAGGCATATGCTTTCTTTCTCTAATCATTCCGAAATCCGTTTATCAATTTCACGCTGCTGTGTGGGGAGGGGGGGGTCGCGGCTCGTAATGAACTGGAAGTTGATCTGTCAGCACTATCCTTATCTTCAGGGCAGATGTTTTTATTTTATTCGGGTTATAATTCTTTACTAAATGCAGTATTTCATCTCGATGTACTCCGTCTTTGATATGATTTAAATCAAATTCCTCGTCATTATAAATATCACATATATACATTAAATAGTTTTCTGGTTGAAATTTTCTAATTTCGACTATGCGTAATGTATGCTTTACACAGGCGCGCGTTGAAAGAAATGTTTAATAAAGTAAACAAATAAATATTAAGCTTTTTTTTTGTAAATTTTGATACCCTTTAGATAATAATTGTTCTTTATTTCATAAATTATGGTTTCATATTTTTAATTTTATAATTTCCGCATGCCATCTTATCAGATTTAAACTGATGATCTATAATCCGGAATCGCCGAAGTTCCCAAGAGTCTGGATTAAAGACTTTCGACTGTATATCTTTATTTATAATTATTCTTATGTCAATTATAATTAAGTTACTTATAACAATGGGTTCTAAGAAAGTGAGTAAAGTAAAGGAACTAATGATGTCCCTAAAATTAAAGCATGAAATCGCTGATAAACATAGGCAAGGTGTCCATGTAGTCAATCAATCCATCTAGAATTATGAGCATACAATGTTTATGATGCTGAAGCAGAAAGAGGCAGTTACAACTTTAACAGTGTATCCTTATAAAAGTATCCTTTGTAAAATAACAGTGAAGCTTTTTTGGTTGATCTTTACATTATGGTAACTTGGCGTTTTTTTGGCGACCAACTCTCCTACAGCAACCCTCTATTTTTTTTTCCCGCCGCCATTTTGTCTTCACGAAGTAAAGACATGTTTCTTTTCTTTTTATCTACTGAACACTTCTTCCAGTAATCTACTAGCCGAATTACACTTATGCTAGAAATTTTATCTAACAAAACTGCTTAATCATGACAAATATTCACTGCAAAATTGGGAAAAAGTGCACAATACCATACTCCTTACGCGTTTTTCAAAATAACACATACACATAAACCATGTACACGCCGACTTATTTTTACTTAAAAAACATCCCAGAATTGCACAAAAATGGCATTGCGCACACTCTTCACTATATCCATGTACACTCCTTTTTTCTCATAAATTAGAAAAATTTCACGAAAATACATGACAATTTTCTCAATCTTTAAACCTGGTAAAAAGAACATATATGAAATTACCTGATCGAGAAAAAGTATTTACCCTTTCCAAATATGAACATTTTCACATATAAAATAAATAAAATATCCAAAAACTTTTACCTCTAAATCATCTATTACATTATACACGTCACCAACGAATTCATACCGCAAGCATTACAAATACTTAGTATCATATATTTAAATTATTTCCATGCACGTTTACTTCAACTTAAACGTGTACCAAATTCCTACAAACATAAAATTCACAAAATAACTATCATTTAATTAAAATATCACTAAACCATGTACACGTCGACTTATTTTTACTTAAAAAAACATCCCAGAATTGCACAAAAATGGCATTGCGCACACTCTTCACTATATCCATGTACACTGCTTTTTTCTCATAAATTAGAAAAATTTCACGAAAATACATGACAATTTTCTCAATCTTTAAACCCGGTAAAAAGAACATATATGAAATTACCTGATTGCGAAAAAGTAATGAACATTTCCACATATAAAATAAATAAAATATCCAAAAACTTTTACCTCTAAATCATCTATTACATTATACACGTCACCAATGAATTCATACCGCAACCATTACAAATACTTATTGTCAGATATTTAAATTATTTCCATGCACGTTTACTTCAACTAAAACGTATACCAAATTCCTACAAACATAAAATTCACAAAATAACTATCATTTAATTAAAACATAATTAAATTCAAAAACACTACTTAAATATAAATGAGCACATACATTAAATTAATACATAACATAATACCCATTTCGAATTCACTTTAGTTACGGCCATGGGATCCAAAAATTCACGAACACTGTTTCACACAACACAGAATAAAGCCAAATACAAAATTTCCAGATTTTTTCCCGATTTCCCCCCTTTTCCGATTAAAGAACCGTAATTCGTCCATTAATATCACATGACATATCCCATGATCTCTCATTTCCCTCGCACAAAATAATGCGTAATCGGAACTGAGTACCGCTCACATTATTACCAAAGTGCCAGGTAGTAACCTTTATCGCCTCCAAAATTTCGCGAAACTACCAGTTACCATATTGTAAAGATCAACCGCCTTTTTCTCATTTTACTTTTTTTCCAACAGTTCTGTGGTTCTTCACTCAGTGAACAAATCTAGAACATCTTACTTCAAGACCACGTAGAAGATTCTGTTAGGATTTGAAGACTATCTATGTGCTTAAAATTTAAATTCTAGAACATTATACGTAAACTGGAAATTTAAAATTATTTTGTGTATTTCAGTTTTTTTATTCCAATATATTTCAGTTTTTTTATTGTGCAAATCTGTTTAAATAATTAACCATGCATTCCAAAAAATTTATCTTAAAAGAATTTACAACTTTCACAGGGTTCAAATGTACCGGCTAAATTTAAATATTTGACTACAGTTCACACAAGATCCTTTGCAAATGATTCAGGTAAGTAACTTAGAATTTTTGTGCTTGTGTACTAACGTAAATAGTTGTAACTTCAGACATGAATTGATAAGTGATGTGATTTGAAATCAGTGCATTCTTTGTAAACATTATTTATTTAAACAGTGAGTATAATATATTATCTCGCAAGCCCACCAGATGGGCAGGCTGTAGCCAAAGTAAGTAAGGTCTATGTGCACTTGAAATGAAAATGTATGAAAACATATCGATATGAATGAAATTTGTTCATTCTTTACATGCACAGTTCGTAAATAATATTTCAAGCAATTTCTTAAATAATATTTTGTTGCTAAACCCGGAAACAAAAACTTTTGACACATCGGGTATGACGTCATGACTAAAATTTAATGTCATATAACAATTTTTCTGTATATAAGTAAAAGAGTTAACATGGCAATAACATACCATGTCAGTTATCCTAATCTGAAACAAAAAAATTGCCAGCAGCAGCATTTTATTTAAAATTATGACATTAACGAACAATTTTCGACATTCATTTATAGGATTTATCAGTTTCAGTAAAATTCTTCTTAAATCTTTCTATTGTTAGCATAAAGCAGAAGTTTCTAAATCATTTGCCGAAAGAACTAGGGGAAGAAATTTGTGCATGTTTTAAAAGCAAAAATAATGCATGGGCTTTTCTTATTATGTCATAATTTCCACATTTTAACTTTTTGGACGCTTCAGAAAAATGCTGCCACATTAGCATATGTTTTAGAAATTCATGATTTTGACTTGATACTACTATATTATTTACACCATTTTTTAAGACATTTTCTGTTATAAAAAATTATAGTACTATGGACATGAGCAAAGTGATAGAAAAAGAGTTTAAAATATTTTAAATAAGTATTTATTCCTTGTTTTAAATGCTGGTCCTGTCTGGTATTGTTACACATGTATTTAAATAACTGTTATTGTATATTTAATGCAATTATCATAATTTTATCAAATCAACATTTGAATGAAATAAAACAAATACACGTTTTAGTTCAAATGATTTTTTTTTAATATGATGTAAAATTATTTCAAATGAATGGTTTCTTTTTAGGAGAATTTGATTTAGTTGTTATTGGCTCTGGACCTGGCGGTTATGTTGCTGCTATAAAAGCGTCACAATTAGGATTAAAAGTATGTTGTTATGAAATTTGTTATATTTGTAAAGATATTAGGTTATTTAGAAGCAGGAGACATGAAAAATGAGCAATGCCTTCGCCGGGACTCGAACCATGGACCTCTTGAATATGTACTGATTTTGCTGACCACTACATCATGAAGGCAAGCTAAGAAGGCGGGAGAAATACTGGTACTTTTCCGTTTCACCGGCACAAATCTTGCCAAGCAGACTTAATTCGTGACAACATACAATATACACATAAAAAATTTTAACAAATGTTAGTTCTAAGAATTTTTTATTTTGAAGGCATAAACATTTTAATATGGTTTAAAATTTTGTAAAAAGCCAATAAATAAACACAATAAATATGTAAAAAGACATTAATTTAAGAATTTACTATGCTATCATGATTCAACATCCTGATTCGCTGGTTCATATCACGTGGCCCCAAGTGATCTCATCTCACGTAAACTAAGTTACAAAAATCTAATTCTCTCAGTAATCTTATCTACATTAATTTAAATCACAAATTAAATCTTATGGAATACAAGTTTAAATGCAAGAATTATTTTAATTCGTACAAATAGCTTACTCAGAAATTATGTAAAAGCGCAGTGCTTTACTTCGCTAGTGCATTCTCGTTAGAATTGATCAATTTAACCCTTGATTTTGCCTTTTCTATATTTTCGCCTTCGGGTGAATGGAGTGATTGCACCCTAATTGACTTAATTATCGCGAATTGTCTTAGGGGATAAAATTTAATTATCTTTGTAAAAATTCTATGTAATTGTATGCCAGTATTGAAAGAAACAATCAATCTGGTAAGAAATGGCTGCGACTTGTTTTGAAAATGTGGGGTAAAAGGTTACCAGCAAAGATATTCCGTTTGGCATCAGTTGTACCATTATTGGCGACTTTATTGTTGCGCCGGCAAAACAGAAAAGTACCGAAATACCTTATATATTAATATAAAATATTTTCCACTAAGTATTCTTTTAATTAAAAAATTATTGTCTATTTATAGAAGATATTAACAGCTAGTATTTTTAGATGTTCCGGATTTTAAGCTGTTCACGATGGGCACCTCTGTTACCGATGCATTCTCTTGGGACGGTGCGTTAACAGGATGCGTTGTCTTGTGGGACGGGCAGTTCGCGCTGCTGACTAACTTTGGAAAAACATTCGTATAAATTAAATTTGTCATCCAATTGTTAACATTATGAGAAGAACATTTGGTAGTTGTCAAAATTAATTTTAAAGCTTTATTATTATATTTTCCTTAAAAATTTTATAAAATACTCATTCTAGAATAATAATTTTGATAATATGTATGTATGTGAATAATAATAGAGGACATCCCTGATGCGTATGTGCGCCCGTATGCCGGGGCAATAGGTGATGCTTTCCTGTTACAGGACGACAATGCAAGACCACACAGGGCTCGCCTCGTATATGATTATCTTCAACAGGAAACAATTATGCGCATGGAGTGGCCAGCTCGATCCCCGGACTTTAATCCTATTGAGCACGTTTGGGATGCTTTAGGGAGACGTTTAGCTGCTCTCAGTCCACCCCCTTAGATCCTTGCCGCGCTTGCAACTGCTTTGCAAGAGCAATGGCTCTCGCTTCCTATGGAACTGATAGACCACATAATTGAAAGCATCACACGTCGCTGAATGTGCTATATTGCTTCTAGAGGCGATTATATTCCATGTTGAAGGTACTTTTACTATAGCAAACTGACATCTTCGATGTGTTCATTTTATACATGTGCTAATTTCTATACTACCATAATTGTCTTTTTATGTTATTTGATACCTTACTATGTGTTGTATATTGTGGGTAAGTTTCATTAAATTCTACATGTAACTTTTTCATTAATCGTGATTTTTGTGATTTTTCCTTAATTTATGATAACCAGTATAATTACCGAATAATAATGAGTCGTAACGGAAATACCAAATTATTGACATAAAAAAAGTTTTAAAAAATAAGTTAAAATAATAAAGATAGAAGTTTTTCTCTCTCTAATCTGCATCGAGGTAAAAAAGCAGACGATTCACTCAACTCTTTGTTCAAGTTCACGTTGTTGTATTCTCTGAGCTTTGTTATTTGTGAGATTGTGTAGTGCTGCCTTTCTTTTTATCTGGATATTTTGTGGATCAATTAAGAATATTTTAAATCTCAGCCCTTTTTAATACAATGACAGATAAGAAACGCACTTATGATTTTACTGCTTTTAACGTTGAAAAAACGTAAACACGTTGCATTGACGGTAACGCAAAAAGTGCAAATTCTGCAAAAGATAGAGGCAGATGGTACTCCTCGATTTATAGCAGATTGATATGGAATTGCGACATGATTGTGTGTGATATATGAAAAAATAAAGAAAAGCTGTTAAATTTTATAGCAATAGTGATTTTAACACCGGAATCCAAAACCGGAAATCTTTGTGTGAGGCGAAATCGGCAAACCTCGATGCTGTGTATATAATCAATTTATATATGTAATAATAATATAATGCATATAATAAATTATTGCAATAATGTATATAATAATTTAATTAAATGTATCTAATACGCCTTATTTGTTTTGCACTTATCGTCCGAATATTATGCTTTATCTTTCCTGTCCTGAAATCTGCAAAATCCTAAAACATCATTTTTACTGACCATGCCTCTCGCTTAAAACATTACTTAGAATGGTTTAGAGAAATAAATTGTTTCATTTTCACATTTTCTTTTCCTCATTGCTAACGAGACAAAAAAATAGAGATAAAATAATTAAAAAATGTGTAGACAAGTTACTTTACTCTCGAAAATAACGTAAACGCATTGTCCATATTGTGTTGCCAAATGACTAAGTAAAAAGTTGTTGCAAAACCAGCCCTCAAAATTAGCATCAGCACTTGCTCAAAAGTGAGCTGAGAGATAATGGCCTTAAGAGAATGTTTAAAAACATGATGTCGAACATATGAGTTTAAGTGGAAAAAGTATCACTAGTCATAAAATTCTTAAACCCCATACATTTTTGCAATCCCAGACTGCATTAAAAAGCAAGATTGTCCACACTAATCCTGGATGTTCCTAGTCTGTGTATGGTAAGCCTGTATACGGGATGACACTGCCCAGTTTTGAAGGAGCCAGATTTTGTCTCGCCATGATTTTAATCACTTAAAAGCATCCAAGTCTTTCCTGGGATTCAAACCAAAGCTCAGCTATAAGGGAGCCAGCAAAGCTAAACCATGCTACTAATCAGAGCAGCATAATGTATTTATGTAAAATACATAAGGCATCTGATGAATATATGATGAAGTATATATGTTTCATTGTAAATTATCTATGTAGCATTTTATTTGTTTCTGTACACATGGAAGTAAAGAGTTGAGGCATTTTATTCATGGCTTCATTTTCTTAAGAAATAACAGAGCTATGAAAATTACCTTTCCTGTATTTTATGTAATATGTTCAGTTGAAAGAATGATAGAACATTAAAATTCATGGCTGTCCATCAAAGACACATGATCTTGGAGAGTGTTAATATTTTGACATATAATTTTTAAGGAAAGCTAGAATTTAACACATAAGGTTTTTGCAATTTGTGTTCAGTTGTTGCAAATAAAATTTTCTGAATTTCATTATGTAACTCCATGGTGCAATGAGCGCCACCTAGTGGCCGCCGGAAGAAACACCAGCCAAAAAAAGACTATAGCCTTCAGTCGGTGTACTAGAATCACATACTAAGCATGGTATTCCCCGAGATTTACTTTGTAACTTAAATGTGTAATTATAATGCCCTTAAGTGTAATGATTGATCTTAATTGTATTTGTTAATTAAAGCTAATTAAAAATGCCAGATGAGTCTTTTGTTTATGGTAGTTTAGTTATAATTGAAGTTTTATATGTCCAAAAAATTGTCATGGCTTTTAGATATGTGTAAATGAGAACAATGCCAAATGCAGTTTTTTTTGTTGGCTAATGAATTTCTATCTTTACTATTATATTTACTATTTTTATTTACTATTAGATTAATTATGTATGTATGTAATTTTAGACTGCATGTGTTGAGAAGAATAATACTTTGGGTGGAACATGTTTAAATGTTGGATGCATTCCATCAAAAGCTCTGCTTCACAATTCTCATCTATATCACATGGCTCTGCATGATCTGCAAAATCGTGGTATAAATTGTAAGTATAATAATGTAATTCTACTAGAATTTTAGTAGCTGTTTCCAGCTGATGGCATAATTTAAAAATATGTAAATTTTTAATTCTTTAATTGAAGAATAAATATATGTAATAATTTGCTAAATTTTTTATTCCAATGTCTTCTGAAATTTAGTGTAGTTTACTTTCTGTCCCAACTTTAGAAGGATAATCAGCAGGCTTTAATAATATAGCTCAGCTGATTATTAAAAATTTAAATGAAAATGCAATTCCTGTGGCTAATTGCTTAGCACTTAGTACCAATAATGCACCGCTAATGTTAGGCTTGAAAGTGATGTTACAGGCATCTTAAAAAAGGAAAATACAAATTTGCAAATTGTAAGGTGCGTCTGTTGCATCTTAAATTTAGCAGCTGAAGAAGGGGCAGCTTCTTTATCAATAAATGTGGATGAACACATTGTTGATATTTATTCTTGTCTTGAAAGGCATTTTAAAATGGAAGGAAAAATTGAAACAATTCCAACAGCTGCGTAGTACTAAATAATTAAAGTAAGAAAAATTTTGAAACTTGTGTGTACATGCTGCCTGTGTTTAAAGAAATGTTTACCTAGAATCCTAACAAATGGAATCCAAATCTGCCAAGTATGTATGTCATTACATACTATATAAATTTAAAATCAACGATGAAATAATTTAAATGCTAATATTGCAGATGTGTCTGCTCTAGCAAATGCATTTTTTTCTGATATAAGATTTTTTTTAAAAAAAAAGTAGATTTCCAGTTTTACTTCATGTAGTCATGAAAGACAATGATATTGATGTTGGAACTGATACTGCTGTCACAGTTTTGCAGTTTACAATTAGAAGCTTGAATAAAGTTGTAAAACCTTGGTAGTATTTGATACCCACTGGAGTTTAATTGGAAAACTGAAAGGCGCTGGTGAAATTTGAAAGTATAGTGAACTCTCTAGAATAATGTTGAACATCCTTGCAATTCTGCTTAGTAATACAGAGTGCAAGAAGATTTTCAGTGTTGATACGAAAACAAAGACAAAATTTAGATGTAATATTAGTAACTAGCAGCTTTTCTGCCAGCCTTCGTCTGGCTTTTAAATGTACCGGAAAAATGGCTGAAGGGAACACCGTTAAATTTAAAAACTGCATAGAATTTTACTCTGCAGAACAACTTCATAAAAAAAGTTATTACGTATAACAAAATTACAATGAAATAAGCAATATCTCTTAATAAAAATATTAATTATCCTAATAAATAAATTAACCAACTTCCCTTTGCAAAATCTTAAGAACTCAAATGGTGTAAAGGAGGTTAAGAACTTTTAAGTAAAGTAAGGTGTAAAGGAGGTTAAGAACTTTTAAGTTAACTTTTAAGTTTTCTAAAAAAGTCACTCAAAACTTTTCAATATCTTAAAAACAGTGAAATGAGCAATAAATAACATAAAAGAATATAAAAAACAAAAAATTCGGAAAAGCAAAGTATAATTAATGATATTTTATCTTACATTTTCAAGAGAAAAAAATTACAATGAAATAAGCTATATCCCTTAATACAAATATTAATTATTCTAATAAAAAAATTAACCAACTTTCCGTTGAAGGAAAAAAATCATACAAAACTTTTCAATATCTTACAAACAGTGAAATAAGCAAAAAATAACATGAAAGCAAATCAAAAAACATAAAATTCCGTGCAGAATTTTACTCCACAGAACAAATTTATCCCCCCCCCAAAAAAAAATCAATAAAAATGTGTTATATATATATATATAGAAATTACAATGAAATATGCCAATCTCTTAAAAACAGTGACATAAGAAATACGATGAAAAATTGTTGCCAAACCCATATTTCTAAAAGAATGAAACTTTTCAAAATGATGTGATTTCATCAAAAATCTATCAACAACAATAAGACAGGAAAATTGTTGCCAAAATCACATTTTTAAAGATGTGAGAAGTGTACTCAGAAGCTTCATTTAAAATTTTTTAAAAAAATACAAAATATTATCATTTTTCCAAAATTCTTTTTGTAAAAGCAGTCGCAAGGATGAACTCTTAACGTGTCCAAAAGTCAAAGAAAAATAAACTGTACATTTTTAAAAATAAACTTTTTTAGAAAAAATCCATTGAAAAGGTGTTAAACTCCGTTTGTTAAATAAATTCGTATTTAAGAGATTTATTGAAACACAAAATTTGTTTAAGTTCGTAAAATAGCTAAGTGCCTACATTTCATGACGATGTGAAAATGGAGTGTGTAAAGTAAAATCTCGCTTTCCTATAGCCCATCATGTCTCAAAATGACGCGATTTCGTCACAAAACATAAAAATAATTCGAATTCGAATTTCGAAAAAATCACTTCGAGGTGCACTGGCTCTTGTCTAGATGCACCTATGTACCAAATTTCTTAGTCGTGGGTCTATTAGCTTACGCACAGCGCGAATAAAGACACACACACACAGACAGACACTTTCTTTTATTATATGTAGAGATGATACATTAGAAAATTTTTTATTAGCAAAAGCAGGTCTATGTAGCAATTGCTATGAACAAAATTATGAAGTTTCTTATTAATGAAAGCAAAATCTGCTACTGTTCATAGCATTTATATGAAAACTGATTTAAATTAATTTTTGTTAAAAGATGTAAATAATAATTTTTTTAAAATGTAAGTATTTTTGTACTGTTTGCACTTAAGAATTAGTAAATGAACTTTCAGGTATTAATTAGTAACTAATTCATTATTAAAAAAATATTTTTATCATTTAAAAATCTTTTTGTTGTTGAGAAAATCTCCTGGTGTTTTAGTCTCGTGGTTGGCAATTAAGTGTTTGGCATCTTAACTGTGAGTGATAATCAATGCTTTTCTGTTAAATTCCTGTCATGCATTTTGGCATATTTCTTGTCCTATACCGTTAGCTCAGAACAAGACATTTTTTCCTCAAATTATTTAATTTATATATATAGTTTCTCCCTGTTTTAGTTGAATTTCCAGTGGTTTCTTCCTTAAATTATCCTCCCCCCTCAAAAGATAAGAACATGAAATCAAAACAAATGTAAGAATTCCATTCATGACATTCTCCTCTATTGTGTACATTAAAGTTTGCACAAAAGGATGGAGCAGAAAGTAACAAGCAAGTTTGCACAGAAAGGTGAAGGCTTTCATATTATCTTTTATTAAAATTACATTTGCATAATAGTACTGAATACATATACAAAATAATGCTTGAATAACCTTTCTACTCAACATTTTATGCTAGTACAGCAGAAAGCTGTATTTTTTCACCTGTATAAATAAATATGTAATAAAATTCTGCTAAGGTTGCATTTGAGAAAATGGTTTATTTTGAATAAGATACATTATCTTTTTAAATGAACATATCTAATTTATTACTTTTATATTTGATTATTTTTCTGAAATTGGACAAATGTAACTATTAATGTTTGTTATATTTGCAGGTGAAGGAGTTAAATTAGATTTGAATAAAATGATGGAACAGAAAAGTTCTGCTGTAAAAGCATTAACTTCTGGAATCGCTCATCTTTTTAAGCAAAATAAGGTATGTTTTGTATATGTTATATTTGGTTATATTTTTAGCCCTTTTTTGCATAACATAAAAATAAGATATATATATATATACATATATCTTATTTTTATGTCAGAAGTTACAAATACAATATATATATTCAGAAGTTACAAATACAATATATATATTGTATTTGTAACTTCTGTTTAAAAAACAATGAAATTTAACTTCTTTTCCTGTTTTGGCAACATTTTTCAGGTAGCTCATTTTCAAGCCCATGGCAAGATATCTGGTAAGAATGAAGTCACGGCAATTAAAGCTGATGGTTCTACTGATGTTATTAAAACAAAAAATATTTTAATTGCTACTGGATCAGAAGTTACTCCTTTTCCTGGAATTGAAGTAATCTTAATGAAAAAATTCTGTTTATTCCTTTTTTTGGGAGGGTGTATGTGTGTGCGCATGTTCTGTATATGAAGAATGTGCGCATAGCTTGCGGATTGAGAAATCGGAGACTATGAACCATACCTCTATTTCATATAGTAACATATACCAATTTTTGTATTCTGAAGAGATGCAGAAAACTGTATGTTTAACATACAAAAAGTATGTAAATCAAAATGCTAAATTTAATTTCCAATAGTTGCTTGACTCTTATTTTAAGTTGGTTATTTTTCCATATATATTTTGTTATTATTCATCCAGAAAATTATTAGTACTAATATATTGATGCAACCGCCTTGGTGAAATTTGGCGCTTTTTTACAGATAAAAAGGTAACTTACCGTAATTTCCGGAAGAAAGGCCATATCAGCGTAAACGCCGCACTCGAGAAAAATGGCGGGAAAAAAATTAAAATTACACAGAAACGCCACATCAGCGTAAACGCCGCAATAGATTAAATTGCGCGTGACATCGTCGTGGGCCATATAGATACAAAAACTCAACCTAAGTTCTGATATATGACATACCAGTTAAAGAAAAATGCATGAAATGAAACCATAACTCAAAAATAAATTAAAGGTAAGAAATGTATAGCTTCTGTGCCGTTTAGAGACATTTTCAAAAATTTTCCGCTCCCTAATTAAAAACTATCCAACAAGTACTTGTACCCAAACCGATGGGATCTGTATTTGGCAGAATGCCAAGAAAAATCCATTCATGCTGAAGGGGAAATACGTCAGAGTTCATTATTTCGAGGCAGGTGGAGTCGTGTCCGCCTTTGAAAAAAATTGCAGAAAAGGCAGGGGTGGGGAGAAGATGGGTCCTGGAAGATTCATCGAATGGCAGAGGAGAGAGACTATTCAAACTGATGAGAATGTTGATTTAAAGGGGGAAGAATGTTATTGTTCTGAGATCTTGTTTAGGGTGAATAAGGCATGTAGGTCCGTTCAAGGGAAAGAATGTATACAAAATAACGTTCGCAAAAGGCAACTGAGTGGTCTTTTGTGTGGGAACAGCACCAGTCTATGCACAATGACAAGGCCATCCAAACTATGTACAATGACCATCATAGGAAATATTTTATTTTTAGTGCACCTAAACGCCGCACCCGCTGAAAATTTAAGTTTTAAACACGTAAACGCCGCAGCGTTTCTTCCGGAAATTACGGTATTTATTGGGTGCATATTGGTGGTTTTCATGTTTTTTCTTAAAAAGATTCCTAAACTATCAATATTTATCATAAATCAGCTAACATTATCAACATACGAAAAGAAGGCATACTTTAGAAGTTTAAAATGAAAACTTTAATTATTAAATAAGGATTATATAATATATTAACAAAATAAAATATTTATTTCTCCAAATCTTTCTGTGAATTGTTTGCACTATTCTTCTCCTCAAGTGCAGAATGATCTGTTTTCACTTAAAACTACATGAGATAATTGCAGAGACTTGGCATCCCATAGACCTCGACAGCACTGGCTATCTATCTAACACATCTTCTTGTTGTTCCCTTTAAAGATTTTGTGGCAAAATTCTGTATTCCTCAGGAAATTTAATTAGTTTTCTTCCACAAGCATGTTTTAAAATCAAGTTTAAAGGGGTAAAAAAATCATGATTTTTTTAAATAAACGTCATTGCAGCTTGAAATATAATAGAAAGCATGTATAAAAATGGCAACTTGAGAGCTATTATGAGCATAGTTGCCATAAAAATGATTATGCATATGCTTGCCAGAGTTTGGTACATATGGTACAAAGTCCGAAATCCGGACGTCCATTATCCGGAGTGATCTAAAATCCGGATCTCAGAACCACTGTTTTTTCGTAGGCATGACAACTTGAGTAATGACTCATGTAGCGATGCTTAAACATTTTTTTTTTTAATTTAGTAGTCAAATAATAAAGGAGTATGGTAACCTTTTATGTTGACATTACGCTTGGCGATGATTACAGATTTAAGTTAAATACGCTAAAACTTGTTGACGAGGAAAAATATCTTTCCATATGCAAAAAATAAATTTTGTTGATGATACTCATAGACCCAAAGATTACATTTAGGGCTATTTGAATTAAGAATAACTGATTTTTTATTCACATAAACCCAGAACCAGTGCCAGGGCTCATATGGCCACGCTGAGTCGAGAAAGGATCCACAGAGATTGCATTAGGCGGTAAGATATCCAGCACCGGCCCTCAATAAGTATATGTAGGAATTTATTTATTCAGAACTCTGATAAGTGTTAAGCATGTGCAAGAAATAGACATAAATAACTAAACTAATACAATTCAGGCTTAATTGTCTCAGTGTACGATAGAAGCAGGATAAAATTTAATGGAACAACCTGTCATTAGTCCCCAAACTCGTGATGCATAGCCAAATATGTAATAGTGAATGATAGTAAATTTGATGATGATAGCTGCAAATTTTCGGATATCGCAAAACAAAGGTGAAATTTTCCAATTAACGGATTTTGTAAAAAAATGTGGAGAAGTGGTAATAAACAAAGATGATATAAAAGAAGTTTTTCATTGTGATGAGAATACTTCTCAATCATCAATCAATTAATGAATGGGGAAATCAGTAGTATGGTTCTAGATACAGAAAATACTGCTACCGATAATGAAGAAAGTCACAGAGAAGTTACTGAAAATGAGAAAATTTCAATTGACAAGTTAGTCGGAATTCTTGAAACAGCAGTTACAGGACTTCAACAATGTAACTGAACAATAGATTATGTCTCTCCACAGAATTAAACAGAAAGTATTAACAAGAAACCCTTTAGATCATAAATACTTCATTATTTCATATATCACGATTTCACATTTTTAATTTAATATCTACATGCCAATTTATTAGATTTAAACTGATGATCCATTATCTGGAAAAATCTCAATCCGGAATTGCCGAAGTCCCGACGAGTCCAGATTTTAGACTTTATACTGTAGTTATAAATGCGGCCTCTTTGATATAATAGCAATAAATGGTAAATCTTTTAAAAATAAAAAACATATAAAAATCTTCATATATTCTATCAATTCAATTACAGATATCTTCTGCTAAGTGATTTTTCCTGAAATTCACAAAACTTTCATTATATTATAACTTTTGTAAAAAACTTGATGGACAACACAAGGCTGTCTTCTGCTTACTGATCTTTCCTGAAGTTCACAAAACTCTTATTATATTACAACTAAAAAAAAAAAAAGTTAGGGAAAACAGCACATTTATTTTAATACAATGTTTTCTCCATTAGTATCCAATAACATTTTCAGTTTTTTAGTTTGTCGAAAAATTAAAATAGTTCTCCAGATGATTTTGCTGCGGTTTTGTTCGATATAAAAGCCTTATTCACCAAGGTACTGATGAGAGGTGCTCTCATGTTTAATAAAGTAAACAAATAAATATTAAGCTTTTTTTTTTTTGTAAATTTTGATACCCTTTAGATCATAATTGTTCTTTATTTCATAAATTACGGTTTCATATTTTTAATTTTGTAATTTCTGCATGCCATCTTACCAGATTTAAACTGATGATCTAATATCCGGAAAAATCCCGAATCCGGAATCGCCAAAGTCCCGATGAGTCCAGATTTTGGACTTTGTGCTGTATATATATATACTTTTGGTGTGGCCGATTGCAACCAAAAAGGGAGGTGCATAATTACATGTTATAGCAGTCCTATATACAGAATTTCAACGTTCAGAGTTATCAGAGTTCTGACTAAATAAATTCCCACATATACTTTTTGAGGGCCAGCACTAGATATCTTATCGCCTGATGTAGTCTCTGTGGGTCCTAAATTCTGCTACTGATAATGAAATACTCCGTGTGGCCATACGAGCCTGGTGCTGGTGAATAACAAATCAGTTATTCTTAATTCAAATAGCCCTAAATGTAATCTTTGAGTCTATGAGTATCATCAACAAAATCTATTTTTAGCATATGGAAAGAAATTTTTGGTAAATTTTTCCTCGTCAACATTTTTTAATGCATCTAACTTAAATCTGTAATCATTGCCAAGCATAATGTCAGCATAAAAGGTTACCATATTCCTTTATTATTCAATTACTAACATAAAAAAAAAGTTTAGGCATTCTTACATGAGTTATTACTCAAGTTGTCATGTTTTGATAAACATGCTGTGATGAAAGGGATATGCAATAAATAATGATTTGCCAGGTTGGTGTTAGATCAACGATGTGTCTTTGTGGAATGTTTCGGTTTGAGAAGATGTGTGCCAAAAAGCAGATACGCAGCAATGGAGCCAATTACTGATTGTACAGATTTATGCTAAAATGTTTGTTTCTTCTGTAACAAGGCACTTTATGTAGTATCGAAGTGAAATTAAGAATCGGGACTTTCCAAATGTTTTATTATGCACAGAGGGGGAAAATCAAATGCGCATGTTTAAAGCCTAGGAGTAAAATGTTGTAGGTGGTTTTGAAGTCCGGATTTTAGATCATTTTGGATAATAGACGTCCGGATTTCAGACTTTGTACTGTATATATAACCACTCTGTTACTCGGCTCGGTGAGCTCAGTTTCTTTACTCTTATATGTTTGTAAATTATGCATTTTTTGCTTTAAAAATGATTAAATTATGTTGTTCTTATCTTCTGGTTAAGGTTTTTATGCCTTTAGTTAATCTGTGTGCAATAGTCATAGAATTATGAACAATTTAAAAGTTGTTCAAGTGTGGCTAAGCCTAATTTTTCTTTCCATAGCAGCCATATTTTTTTATATTTGAAACTTACCAGAATAGTGAATTAAAACAGTTTCTATACCTTCAGTTGTCTTTTTGCCGAGTGGGACCAAAAGGAAACTTAATTTTGTGCACCGAAAAAATCTGCCTTCTTGCCTGCTGTCTGAATTGCTTGTTTTTGCATAGAAACTCTAATTTTAATTATAAAAATTGTTTTTTTTTTTTATATTTGTTTTAACTTTGGTGTTTTATATTTTTCTGCATCTTTAAATTTTTAATGAAGATATTTTGAATTTTTATGTATTTTTCCTTGCCGCGAAGTGGGAACTGGATTAATTGAATCAGAAATATATCTCTAATGAAATTCAAGGAAGTACGTTTAGATGAAATGCGGGGAAAAAATGCATATAATTTAATATTCTGTACAAGGAAGTCATGTGGTGTACACATCAGATTTTTTTTTCGTCATTTAGTATTATCAAAACAGTGAGGGACAAATATGATCACATTGAGACTTGTTAGAAATTTTAATTGTTAAGTTACTTTTGTAGAGTTTCTGGAGTATATTTAGTGAATGTGTACTTTTAAACATATTATTTTGCATTTTCAAATGGGGGGGAAAAAAAAAACTTTTTTTGTGTGTATTTTATGTATATTTTTATGTTGGAATTTTGTTTTTCGTGAAATGCTGAAGTTTTTTTATAATGTAGATTTTCATATTGCACATCTAATGCGTTTTTTAAATTGCCCCAATAATTTTGTTTTGGGTTACATTCAGGTTGATGAGAAGCAAATTGTTTCCTCCACTGGTGCATTATCTCTTGAAAAAGTTCCTGAAAAATTGGTTCTGATTGGAGCTGGAGTTATCGGCTTAGAATTGGTAAATGTTTATGCTATAAAGTTATTACTTGTTGTCATCATCATATGTTATCCTTAGTTGATGTATGGTGCAAATTTGGAAATCTGGCTCACTGGGGCTCTAAATTAATTCATAATTCTTGGCAGTGTTTTTAGAATTCAAGTTGTGATAAAAAGCTTCTTTGGCAAGAAGCACTTGGAATACACATTGTTATAAAGTCTTCAGTGCATAATATAAGTTAAGGACTGATTCCCAAAAATCTATTTCCACAATAAACTAGGCACTCCCTCGTGATCAAAGGCCTGGTCTCCATCATCCCTCAGTGCACCTCTGCACATCCTCCCGTGACCTTGCAATGCTCTGCACACCAGATTTTATGTTAAAATATTAAAAAAAAAAAAAAAAAAAAATAATGGTTTGCCACTGTTGAAAAATTTTAGTATAGATTTTTTAATTTGCTGTTGTGCATCTGCAATTCAGCATGTGCAGTCCTCTAATATCCGTTGCCTGAATGATGGATGTATAAATTTGATAGATATTATCTTTTAACATTTTTGGTTGTTTGGGTAGCCACTGCCTTTAAATGAAGTATGAGCCGAACATTTGTCTATAGTCAGGAAAATTTTTGCATCATCTGGTAAAGCAACAGATTTCAGATGCTGGGAAATGATTATTTATGCTATTCTATTTAAACAATAGATGATGGGAAAATTTTTAAATGCCCAAACTTGCGTATTTTTCCTGCTTACGAAAAGTATATATTTACTGCTGAGGACCAAGGCAAGGTTCGTTTAAGGGACACTTAGGAAATTAGTTTTTATTCCCACATCTTCAAATATAATTTAATTATCATCAAAAGAGGGGTTCCACAAAGAGGTAAAATTTAGTGCTAAAATGTCAAAAGAACATGAGAAAATTGCCTTTCACAGTGGGAAAAAAAAAAAAAAAAAAGTTATAAACATTGAAGGACTTTTACATTAAATTTTGAGATTGAAAAAGGGCTAGGATCAAATTTTGAAGAGTTGCATCATTGAATCTTCAACAGACACTATTTTTTCCTTGATCAGTGGTCTTTATGGTGTTAATGACATGAGAAAAACATCACTTGCGAAAGTCAAATTGCGTGACATTGCAAAGTCTGGAGAGGGAGGAATGGGAGAACTTGTTAGGGGAGTTAAGATAAAAGAGACAGTGGCCAGACTTCCTCTAAGGAGAAACCAATGTTATAGGAATTTCTATAGCATATCATAGTATTATGTTTAAATTTGCAGCAAATATCTCATACACAAATTAAAATGCTTAAATTTAGTTCAACCGTTAATGGTTGAAAGAGATAAGAGCAGGCCCAGTTGCAGGACAGAGTGGCCTTGAGCTATTTTGCAGGCCAGCGAATTTGCTCGGACAAAAAATCATAGATTTGGAGGGTAATTTCAAGCTATTAAGCATTGCTATTATTTCTTGTATTTTAGGGTTCTGTTTGGAGTAGGCTTGGAGCCGAAGTCACAGCAGTAGAATTTTTATCAAATGTTGGAGGAGTTGGAATTGATTTAGAAGTTGCCAAAAATTTTCAACGAATCTTAACAAAGCAAGGTATGAAATTCAAGTTAAATACTAAAGTCACAGGTGCTTCCTCAACTGGAGATAAAGTTTCTGTTAATATAGAACCTGTTGCAGATGCTAGTAAAAAAGAGCAGGTAAAATATTTTACATTTCTCAACCTTGACTATGTACGAATGTGCATGCTGTCATTAAGAAATAAGCAAAAATTTTTATTTGTATAGTATTTCTGTTTGATTAAACATGATGGCACTTATAGCTGCATTTCTGCATTTATTAGGTAATAGATGTCTAAGAAATGATACATAAATTTAAAAATAGTAAACATTTGAGATAAGAATTCTTCATGCACTTTCATCAGTAATAAGGTATAATACAAATAAGACAGAATAAAATATACACATTTGTGAACAAGTATGATTAAGAAATTTGATTAATAAAGGATGGGTATTGTATTATGTGGTCTTAAACTCATATTGTATGAGAATGTAATGCTTGACCTAAAAACAGCTAATACAAAAGATTTTTTTTTTCCTCAACAAAATGAAAAAAATATTTGAAATAAAGGTTAATCTTTGGATTATGGTAACTTCGCGATTTTTTGGCAAAAATTTGGCGACCAACTCTGCTACAGCAACCTGCCAGTTTTTATTTGGACGGCATTTTAAAGGCATGTTTTTTTTTTTTTTTTACTCAACATATTTTTCCAGCAATCTGCTAGCCGAATTACGCTTATGCTAGAACTTTTATGGAACAAAAGTGCTTAATCATGACGAAGATTAGGTGCAAAATTAGGAAAAAGGGCAGAATTGCAAACTGCTTGCCGCGTTTTTAAGAATTACACATACACAGTATCCTGTACCACATCGACCTATTTCACTTAAAAAAACATCCCAGAATTGCACAAAATGGAATTATCACACTTTTGACTTTATCCATGTACACTGCTAAGTCTAGCTAGAACCTTATCGCCTACCAAATGTCGCCAAACTACTTGTTACCATATTCCAAAGATTAGCCAAAATAAATAATAAATTTTGCTTATTAAATATTTATCAAAACATACAAAGCAATAATTATAATAATTATATTGCAAAGATAAAGTAAAAATTATATTTGTTTTCTACAGTCAAAAGTCGTTAATACGAACTCGTCGGGACTTCGGCGATTCTGGATTCTGGATTTTTTCGGATTATAGATTATCAGTTTAAATCTGGTAAGATGGCATGCAGAAATTATAAAATAAAAAATATGAAACCGTAATTTATGAAATAAAGAACAATTATGATCTAAAGCGTATCAAATTTACAAAAAAAAAAAAAAAAAAAAGGCTTAATATTTATTGTTTACTTTTTATTAAACATTTCTTCAATGTAAGTTGTTTAAGTTGCTTCGTTTTTTATGTGATAATACTTTCTCTTTAATTCTATAAACAGACATAATTTCTTGTTCAGTTACAAAGTTCCGCTGTTCAAGTCCTATAATTGCTGTGTTGAGAATATCGTCTAATTTGTCACTCGAAGTTTTTTCGTTTTTAATAACCTCTGTGTCACTTTCTTCGCTATCAGAAGCGAATTATAATGACGAGGAATTTGATTTAAATCATATCAAAGACAGAGTACATCGAGATGAAATACTACATTTAGTAAGGAATTATAAGCCAAATATAATAAAAACATCTGCTCTGAAGGTATGGATAGTGTTGACAGATCAACTTCCAATACATTGCGCACCGCGGCGTTACCCTCTCCCCGCCGCAGAGCAGCGTGAAATTAATAAACAGATTTCGGAATGGTTAGATAAACAAAGGATATGCCTTTATCCATTTTTTTCAGCAATTCCACTTTTTGTTTAATGGGCTTTGAAACATACTTTCGTTTTGTAGATCCTTTACATATTAGTAAATATATATCGGAAATTCTGTTTGACATAATCGAAAGTTCAAGCTTACTTTTATAAAATTGCTCTAACAGTCTGCAAAAAAATAATAAGCCGGATCCAATTCGAAGATTTAAGGAGCTGCAATCTGCAACATTAACTGAATTAGATAATTTTAGCTTAGCTTATACCATTCGTTATACATTAAACGCGCATGCGTAAACGTATTTTGCGCATGCGCAGAAAGATAGTAGCTTCGGATTATGGGTGTCCGAATTAACGACTTTTGACTGTATCTGAAATCTAAAGTTTGGTATCTGCAGGACATTTTTATTCTTAACTTTGTAATTCAAATGCATTAACAGCTAAATATTAAATTCTTGGACTGATATTTCTTTCAAATACATCTAACACATGTTTAATTAATTATTAAATAATTTATTTAAGATAAAAATTAATTGAATGAAAACTTTCTAAGCTTTCAGAGAAAATTTGGAAAGTAGGACAAAACTTGAGAAAAAATAACCACCTAGCCTCCTTCTCTTATTTGTATAAATAAAATTTATTAAACATTTCCCTGGCATAAATAAAACTATATTTGTTTGTATATAAAAAATTATAAATGTATGTTTCTTACTAGCTTGAGATTTGATAGCATTTCAATTGTTGTAAAGTTTATTTTCTTGGAGAGAAATTACTAGAAATTATCTTTATCACAGATAGTAGATGCTTGTAGGTCGATCAGGCTCTTTTTTTAGTAATTTTCAACTGTGGAATAAAGCTGTTCACATACAAATGTATTTGTGAACATTATTGAAGAGTTTATTCTTACTACAAAAATACGTAACTGAGCTTAATTTATTCTTTGACAAGTACAAATAAAAGTTAATCAAAACTGAATCTTCAAACCTTTTAATTAAAATTTATATCGCACTGTAAATTAATTAGCTCCATATATACAGATTTTCTGTTGCATTATTCATATTAATTTTTAATGGTAATGCAAACTCAGACTTTTAAAATCGCTAAAATCTTCAAATCTTCGCAGTATCGTATTTCCATCAAGTACACAATTGAAATGTCTTTTCAGGGTTCATAAAATTTGTCCAAAGGTAGCCAGTTTGAGACCATTGTACTATGCAATCTACTGCTTTTAATTAGTCATTCATGTCTTAGATACCAACACTTTATTACTTTTAAATATCTTAGTTTGTTTATCAGTAGCAGACAGATTAAATGTCAAAGATAAATATTGTACATTTTGTTTAAAGGCAATTACCCGAATTGAATGAAAAGTGAAGCAACTTAAAATGACATTTTGAGACAAAAAGCCTTTTTGTGCTAATAATTAAGGTTACATAAATGAAGATGATTCTGTTAATTAATTTAATAACCCATTAAATTTTTAATTGCATTAAGTTTAAATTTCGATAGCTTCGTGATTCAGTAATTATAACTTCATAAGATAAAAAATTCAGTAGCTTTCATATTTAAATACACAATCAAATGCCAGGAAAAATAAATGATTAAAACAACAACCAGTTTTAATGGCACTATTTAAAAAGTGACTATCGAACTAAAAGTGGTATATCGGATACTGCATCAGTGCCAATTGATGTTTGAATGAGTATTTTTAGTACTAAATATAATTATTATCTTAAAAAATAGTTGAGAAATTAATTTTTTTGATGCATTATTTCTAACTTTCTAAATTTTATTTTGCATTATTTGTTGATTTTTATCTTTCTTAGGGTAATTTTAATTTTTTTAATATGCTCTTAATGGAATTTATAAATCTGTATAATTTTATTTTCCCAAATAGCTTGAATGTGATGTACTTCTGGTATGTGTAGGTCGCAGACCTTATACTGAAAATCTTGGCTTGGAAAGTATCGGAGTTCAGAAAGACGACCGAGGGAGGATAATTGTAAATAGCCGATTTCAAACTACAGTTCCAAAGTATGTTAATATTTTAATATGTGTATGCAAAAACACAGAATTCATGTGCGATATATACCTTCTAAACAAAAACAGTACTATATTTGATATGCAGGGCAGGAAAATGGCCCAACAGCCCTTAAGATACTAACAGGGAATAGTCCCCCCCCCAAAAAAAAACTTTTTAATGTAATACATATACTATGAAAATTTCAGAGCAAAACATGTTCAGAAATGCTCACTGAAAATTATTGTAAATAGGCTTAAAAAAATAGGATTTTCTTAGTGTATTAACTTCTAGATGCCATCACTGTTTTCCCAGTAGTGGCCGAGTACTTAACACCACTGAACACTGGTAGTTTGATCTGCCTTGGATTTGAAGTCAGGCAGATGGGCTGGCTGCATGGTTAGTTTTCATGGTTTTGCCCATATGTAATGTTAACACACAATAGTTTTTTTTTTTTTTTTCTTTCAGAAACTCTTCCAAAAAAGCATTCATCCTCTTGCCCAGGTAGCCCTCATGAAATTGCTGTATTCAAATAACCTAACCTAGTCTTACACTATTATTATACAGGATACTGTTAGGCAGCTTATATGCAACAAATTCAGAATGTCAATCCCATGCAATACTATCAATTAGATTTCTGACATAGTTGTAACTTCGAAAAATTTCACATTGCATAACAAAATACTTTTGATTTTATTACACATGTTTATTTAAACAGAATGTAGTAACATAGTTTTAAGTTAAGCAAAAGATAGTAATATACATAACAACTGCAATGTATAAAATAATATAACAATTATGTACACATTTCTATATGAATATTTGCATATTTGAAATGTGTGCTCTAGATTTCTATGTTTTATTGAAATTGATAGAATAAGTTGTGTTTTTAATTGTTAACCACATGTGTTTCCAAATATAATATATTGTTCATAAGACTACTGCAAAGTAATGCTTATGAATAAAATAAATTCTCACCTAATATTGCATGAATGGCTATAGTTTTTGACTGAAGTTATTAAAACTTAAAGTAATCTTAGAACCAGTTATTCATTTCTGCCACTGTATGCAAATTATTTCACTTATATGAATACAATTTAACCAGTGTATGTTTAAATATCTTGCTTTATCTGTTTGAAAATTTGAGGAAACTCTGTATTCATCAATTCTTTATTTGAAAGCTTCACAACTACCTTTGTCAGTTTATTGTTGTGTATTTAATACCTGAACATTTTATTTATTTAAAATATTAAAAATACATTTTAAGTTCCAATGTACGTAACAATATGAGAAGTTGGTATAATATTTGATAATTAATTAAAAATAAGTTCAAGAGTATAGAATTGAGTCATTTTATTAAGTAGCCAGTTACAGTACCATATTTTTTCATGTATTGCCCCCTTTTCATTTTATTTTGTCATCCAAAAATTGAGAGGGAAAAATTATATGAGTAATTTAATTTCCGAAGAACGCAATTACAGTAAGAACGAAATAAATAAAAAGTAGTCATGGATAAACTACTGCCAACTATCACAGTTGTATTTCTTTTAAAGGAAACCTACATTCCAATAAGAATACATAGTAAGTGCAATGTGTTCAGTTCCGTTACCTTGTAAAGCCTCAGGGACTGATCACACAAACAAATCTTAACTATAGTTTCCAAGAGGGACATTGGAGAATGAAGAAGAAAAAGAGGTTGAACAAAAGTCCCAGATTTCAAAAGATCGAACAGCAGTAATAAGGCTGCAGTGGGCTGGAATGTAAATAACAGAAGTAAGGTGAAATCACTTGTTTGGAAAGTTTCTTAAGTGTGAGAGCACCTGCCACGTCTGGGTAGCTCAACGAAGAATCTGAACAAAAAAATGTTTCAAGTAATAAATGTGAGGGAAAATAAAGTGGATGAAATGTTAACAGAGAAATGCAAATGCAAATTTAATACACCAAAACAAAAATAAAAATGATCAAGGGAATACAATTTACCAATAAAGGGGAAAAATATGAACAATAGATGAAGGCGAAAATGATGCGAATATTTAAAAAATTTTCAGAACTTAGTATTAAAAAGCTAGAAGGAAAACTATGGTAATTATTTGAAATGCATTTTAACGGTTAAATATTCACAAATTTTGCCTAACATTTTTGTTTACCATTATCTGTTTTGATTTTTTATGAGATTTATATTTAATGAAAAGCACTTCAAGACAGAATTCATTAGATAGAATGAAATTATTTTAATAAAGCAAAATACAGGTCTTAATTCTTACCAGTTTTTGTCTAAAGGAGGGAAGAGATAATACAAAGGTGACTTTTCCTCCTATCTACAACCTGATGATAGAAAAATGAGAGGAATTTGCTTTACTGCTGCCTGTTCTTGAGAGGGCTTTTAGACTGACAAACTTTTTGTGCCTCCATTTCTAAAGTCACAAAGCTTTAATATCTTGTCCCAAGACTTAAAATCCAAGTCGCTTGACATGACAGTTAGCTCAATTAACCTCCATACTATAGATCAGTGTTTCCCAAACTTTTCTTATCACAAAACACTTTTCAAGTTCTAAAATATTTAAGGAACACTAGAGTAAATTTGGGTTTTTAGTTATAACATATGGTAATGAAACTGTGGTTCGATGACATGACATGAAAGATTTGATTATGAATGTGGCACAAACTTGCATTAAAATTTTTGGTGAAACAGGATTTTCCCCATAATTCACTGTGAACATAGCTTAACAAACTCGTGTAGAATTTTTATAACTAGAACTGGCCGAAAAATGTAATGACAGAACACTTTTGAAAGCACTGAAATAAGAACACTGAGATGTAGATGCGTAGAAATGCTAATTGCGTAGATATTTGATGCTTAGAGCGTCCATCCATTTTTGAAGAAGAAGCAGTCGAGCCAGCTTAAATTCCTTTTTTATTTAAATTCTCATTTTGTGGCCACAATTCACTTGGCACTCTACTTGTGCCTATTAAAGAACATTTAAAAGTTTGATATTATTGCCATAGAAGCGAATGTAGCAGCACACACATGATTGGAGAAAGGCGTCTGGCCAAGGGTAAAGCACAAACAAAAGTGACGCATGAATCCATAGAAAGAAGGGAGGGCGTCAAAAGTTCAGTTTTTAGTTTTGGTTTACAATTTGGTGATTGGTTAAGAGGCATCTGCATTAAGGGTTACGTAAGATTGCATGATTAATTTAACATACGTACGTGGGTTACGTAACATTGCAGTTTAGATTTACAGCGCTATTTTTAGGACAGAGCGGTGAAGTTTCCAAATGAAATGAATAATAAAAGATTTTATAGTGAATTAAATTAGAAGTTTGATTTTATATTTTTTTATCTTGCACACACATACTGCATATATATGTGAAAGTAGTAAGAAGTAAATCATAATAATTTGCCTTGATAAGTTCTGTTTGAAGCCTTGAACAGAGAAGATTGAGCATGTTTTTATATATAAATTTCTCAGTATTTTGTAAATTGTAAAGGTTTTTTCCTGCACCATTTTTGATTTTGTTGTATAGGTTTTCTAATTTTTTGTATAATCTGTAGGTTTTTTGGGAACAATTTATTGCTTTAACTTAGATTTTGTTGTTTTAAATTTGTTTTTACGTGTAATATCAGGAATTAAGTAGATCAAATGTTCTTTACGGCTTTAGCTAATTTTAACCTCTCCCTTTTCTTTACAACATATATACGTATGTAAGATATAATAAAAAACTATGGATATGTTAAGAAATAATTGACAGTCTCAAAATTAACTATTTTATCTTCTCCCAAATTCTAGATCCTTCCATGATTACCATACTTGCTGGCATATAAGATGCACTCCTTTTTTTATACACATGTTTGAAGGATAAAACTTCATTACTGATCATTTTAATGAGTTTAAAGTATTTTGAATTTAAAATAATACTTTCTGCAAATACCCAGTCTATCTGGGAAAGAACACCTTTTAATCTCCTTTGTCAAAACCCAGACACTCATCTCCAGAGCAGAGTCACTTGAAACATCTTCTAAGTCAACATCTGAGTGCTCATACAACAAATTGTCCTCTTACCCTCTGTTTTCATGTCCTTTAGCATATGCAATCACACGTAGCTTGTATGCTATGTTATAGCAATATCAAAGTTGTTTTTGAGCCAAACTTTCCAACAAATTTAAGAAAACTGAACAGTAGAAATTTCACACACTTAAAAGTCGTTCACAAAAATTGGAAAGTTTAAACGAACTCAGCTGTGATCGTCAGTGGCAGCACATGCGCATTCACTGAACTCTATGTAAATGTAACATTCCCACACTCCGCAAGGAAAGAAGAAAAAAATCGCATATAATAAAAAATTGAGTATGGACGTATAAGATGCAACCCGTTTTTCAGACCTATTTTCAAAGGAGAAAAGTGCATCTAGTATGCTGGCAAATATGGTATATAACAACCTCAAATTACCCAATTATAGCTTAGAATACTTTCTGCATGTACTTAGTAAATATATCGCTCATAAATAAACTGCATCATCTTCTTCTAGCTTCCACCATCCCAAGATCCAAACTGCTTTGCTTGTCTGTCTAAAATGATATTGCCCCAATAATCTGTGTATATAAGAAATTATTGTAATTGTTTATGATAAAAATATATTGTCTATGAAGAATTATTCCAATATGCCTGAAAATAGAGGTTAATTAGCTGAACTTGGCCTTAATATCAACATCTTCATCCCGTCTTGCCGCTCTGTTTTTTTTGCTTTTCCACGTGTGTAACGTGTATACGAGCCAGTTTCTGTTAGAAAATCCTCCACGAAGACATCTCTTCCCTTAGGCAGATAGCCCTTGAGGCTTTGCCATAATCACACACACACAAACATTACATACTTATACTACATGAAGTACCTTTAATAGAAATTTATTTCAGTTTTTAATGCTATAAAACAACAGTGCAAGAAAATTAAAATATTTTTAATTTTCCAAGATTTCACAGTGGAGTTTAATGAAATATAGTGTAATTAAATATTAGCTTTTGAGTATTTGACATACGATACTAATGATGTTATGGTAGGTAAATGTAATTAGAATGGTACACTGCACAAAAAAAAAAGGGGGGGGAGAGGACAGTTCTGTATCTCCTGTTCTACTGGGCTGATTGACGAAATTCAAATTGCGTTTTTAATGTCTCGAAAGTGCAACTTAAGATATATATTAGATTTTTATACAGCACTGTTCTAACACAGGTATTTTGACACAAAAAAGGAATTCTTTTGAAATAACATACCAATTTTTTTCCATATTTCGATTCTACAACTCATATTATGCCTAGATATAAGTTTGTAAAATTTGCAAAAGCGAAAATTCAAAAATTTCTTGCTATAGTTTTTTCAGCTTGCGCCAAGAATTAATTCCTTGGCAACACTTTTAATATGGCACCAGTTTTCCTTCCCTTCATATACCTGAGCAGAAAAAAGCACCTGTTCCTACCTTTTCACACTGTGATGAGCGTAAAAAGTAAATTGTTATGCTTTTAAATAATTTTAGCAGGTGTAAACAAACAATTTGATGTTTTGTTGCTTTCACAATATGGACAAATTCAAATTGCGCGCCATATATAAATTCTTGTATATCTTCGTAATTTGAATAAAAACGTAAATTTTTCCAGGTAACGTAGAAATCGTCTACTTTAAGATGCGGTAAAAATTTTATAGATTAATTTCACCTTTTTTCAAAATTTATAAAAATTATTTAAAATATACAATTTTAAAAGAAATCGAAAAAAATGATGAATTTTATTTGGAATGAACCTGAATTTCGATGTGAAGGAAGAATCAAATAATTTAATACAAAGGAGATTATAAATATACCCAAACTCAATGACATTGGGAGCTAAAATTTTGAGACTTAATTTTTTAAAAACTACTCATGCGATTTTTTACAAAACTTAATAGTTTGGCGTAATTTGAGTCATAGAATGGAAATATGGAAAAAAAATTGGTATGTTATTTCAGAAAAAGTCCGATTTTGTCTAAAAATACCTATGTTATATATAAATCTAATACATATCTGAAGTTGCGCTTTTGAGAGATGAAAAACGCAAGTTGAATTTTCTCAATCTGCCCAGTATAATGGGAGACATAGAACTACGCCCTCCCTTTTTTTTTTTTTTTGGTTTGCGCAATGTACACTTCATTGTCTGCTGACATTTTTCATTTAGTTTAAACTCAGAAAACCTAAATTAAGATTAAAGTTAATTTCATGTTTTTTTTCTTAAACTTTGCAGAGTGATACATAAGCTAAGGATACCCACTGATAATTATAGCTGAAAATAGAAAGGACTGTAAAAGTAAATTATTCTTAAACTCCATAAGATGTATGAAATTTCACAGTTGTAATGATCTATCAGTTCCTTAATTCTGACAAACTTATCCAAAATTCATTCAATGGTAGTTCTTTAAAAAAGTTTTATACTGTAATCAGTAGTCGAACCAGTTAGTTCTTTAAATTTTGATATGCCCATACATATCAACTTAACTATCGTTGTGAAAGATTTTGAATCCAGGAATTGTCTTTGTTGCACTGTAGAAAATATGGACCGCAGTGTTAACTACAAGTGATACAACTGTTTTAATATTTCATTGTAAACTTTACTGTCTACTTTTTAACTTTCTTTATTTTAAAAGTCATCTAAGGTAGTAGTAAAGCAATTAAATATTTTCTGTTCTGCTTGAGAAATCTCGTATCAACTTTCATTTGAAAGGAGCAATTTATCCATTATATTAGAAACGAAACTGTTTCTTCCTTATAGTGGAAATTTTTCCCAAAACACCAGTGTTCCCTGGAACACAGTTTCGGAAACACTGTTACAAATGATAATCTGAATATAAATAAAAATAAGCTTACGAAATATAAATGTTTAGAAAGAGTAAGAGACGCATTTGAGTTGAAAAGTCACAAGCCTAACAATAGAGGGGAAATGTTAAGTTTTCTTTATCTTTATGTAATTATTTGTCAAAAAAAGATCTTCTAAAAAAACTAATTGTACTGTAGCTAGTGAAAATTAAAATGTAAAGCAATTGTTTTAAAATTAGATTATCAACTCTAAAATAATTTTTTAGTTCAATATCTCATATAATCTACTATAACACTTTTTCTGTTATTTATTTTGTTGTGACCTTCTGATTTTTTATTATTAAATTCTTATTAATTTTAATATACTTTTAGATATATATTTGTTATTTATGAAACCTCATTTTGTCAAAAAAATTGTTAAAGTATTCATATAATACATTGTTTATCTGTTTTAATATCCAATTTGAGTATAACAAAAAACTTATTTTTATAGTTTCCTGTTTAGTATACATATTTAAAATAAGATGAAAATAAAACATTGAAATATTTAGATGTTATGCATATATGTATTTTGTAATTTAAATTTACTAGCCTCTTTTATGTGAAAAAGAACTTATTGTCTCTTTGTTTCTCAAAGAGCTGTATTCTATTTTCAATTTTTATTTTAGCATTTATGCAATTGGTGATTGCATTCCTGGCCCCATGTTAGCCCATAAAGCTGAAGATGAAGGTAAATTTTGCTTAATATTTGAACTTTTCTTTAACCCATGTATAATTTTAATCAAGTTGCCTGTAATTAAATGAAAAGCTTAAATGATAGGTTGTAAGCCTATAATTAAATGAAATTTTTTTGTGGTATTTAATATAGTAATACATATTTAAAATAAGATGAAAATAAAACATTGAAATATTTAGATGTTACGCATATATATATGTATTTTGTAATTTAAAATTTACTAGCCTCTTTTATGTGAAAAAGAACTTATTGTCTCTTTGTTTCTCAAAGAGCTGTATTCTATTTTCAATTTTTATTTTAGCATTAATGCACTTGGTAATTGCATTGGGTAGTATTTTTTATATTGCATTTTTTTTCTGTTTGTTTACCTTTTTCAAGAATTGCTACTATTTAAGTTTGTAGAGATTTGGTTTTAGTTGCCCCCTCTCCAGAGTTAGAATTTTAATTTAAAAATATTAGCAAGTAAAAATTGCTTTGTAAGTAGTATGTGTTTTCATTTCCAGAATTTGTATTTGAATATTAATATACCTTATAAGCATGAAACATAATAATATTGTAAATGTGGTATTTAGATTGTTTAGTGCATAATTTTGGAATCAGTAGTATCTTGATGTCTATTATAACAAGATTTATTTATTTATTTTTAATGTAGCAATGTTTTTATGTAATCATTTTCATGTAAGTGAATTCAAGTATGAGAAAAAACTGATTTTCCTTAACATGTATGCTCTGAGTTAATTATAATTTAAATTTTAAAGTAAGTAAAAGTTTTTTACTTTAACTAACTGCTGGAGATTCTGTAAAAAATGCATTAAAAATAAATTAAATACATTATTGTGTTATTATCAGAATTTTTTTCCCATATATTTCATACCTTGGATTAAAAGTAATTTTCTATAAATAGTTGATTTATTTATTTATTTATTTATTTAATTCAGTGCGATTTAGTGTAAAACAGTTTTATTTTATTATTATTCAAAAGTTGTCACAGAGAAGTATTAATAACCAAATTTAATGTGTAAGAAGAATAATACTTTTTTTGTTTCAGAAAATTGCTTAATACTTTCTCTTAAAAGCTACATATCTGTGGTTCAGATTTTACTGCAGCAAAAATACATTTTTATTGCACATTGAAATAAATCATTACTGTGTTGAAATAAACAAACCTATGGCTGTGTTAAGATTACTGAATAATTAATTGTTGAATACAGTTTTTAAATTTCATGATGGCAGATGAAGGAAGTAATACATATAACAGTGTCGTAACTAAGTTTGCTGTTATTTTTTATGTAAGCTATATTTTATGAGTGAAAAATTTTATTTTGCAAGACATAAGATATTTATATAAGAATTTTAAACTGTGAAAGAAAGCTGTTAACGTATAAATATATTCCTATGCAAAATGATTGTTCCTAGTGTAAAATTTCTTAGCAGAGCATATTTATTTTTTGACAAGTCTGAATAAAAGTTAATAAAATCTGTATCTTCAGATCTTTGAATAAGAATTATAGCAACATTCTAGTTGCAAAACTACATAATTATCTTTAATTTATTTATTGCTAATAATTATCTTTGCTGGCTGCCAATTTGAGCCACTGGCTGATGGAACACAATTGTAGTAAATGCTAGCTTAGTATTTCTCTTGAGATGTAATCAGTTTCTGTTTGCTCACATATAAAGAGTGAATTATAAAATACCACTAATTTCTAATTGGAGGCTTGCAGTTATTTATTTTCAGTTATTGTCAGAATTTTTTAAAATTGAATATGGTTTAGTTGATTATGGCAAAGCACAATAAAACTATCTGCCTAAGGGGAGGGATACTTTTGTGGATGACTTTCTAAGGAAAACTGATACAGTCAAAAGTCGTTAATTCTGACACCCATAATCCGGACCTCAAAGCTACAAACTTTCTGTGCATGCGTCGCGTTGACGCATGCAGTTGTTGCACCTTTACGGCTGCGAATTTGCGTGTGCGCGTGCGCAAAATACGTTTACGAATGCACGTTTAATGTATAACGGACGGGATAAGCTAAGCTAAAATTATCTAATTTCAGTTAATGTTGCAGATTGCGTTGTTCCTTAATCTTTGAATTGGATCCGACTTATTATTTTTTGCAGACTGTTAGAGCAATTTTATAAAAGTAACTTGAACTTTCGATTATTTCAAAAATAGAATTTCCGATATATTTTACTAATATGTAAGGATATACAAAGCGAAAGTACTTTCGGAGTCCATTAAACAAAAAGTGGAGTTGCTGCAAAAATGGATAAAGGCAATATCCTTTGTTTATCTAAACTTTAACGTTTGTTTATCTAACTTTGTTTATCTTTAACGCCCCAGCGCAATGAATTGGAGTTGATCTGTCAACACTATCTTATCTTAAGGGCAGATGTTTTTTTTATTTGGCTTATAATTGCTTACTAATGTGGTATTTCCTCCGATGTACTCGTCGTTTGATATGTTTAAATCAAATGCCTTGTCATTATAATTCGCTTCGGATAGCGAAGAAATAACAGAGGTTATTGAAAACGAAAAATTTTGATTGACAAATTAGTCGGTATTCTCGACACAGCAATTATAGGACTTGAACAGCGGCAACTTTGTAACTGAACAAGAAATTATTGTCTGTTTATAGAATTAAAGAAGAATGTATTATCACATAAAAAACAAGCACTTAAACAACTTACAGTGAAAGAAATGTTTATAAAGTAAACAAATAAATATTAAGTTTTTTTTTTGTAAATTTTGATACCCTTTAGATCATAATTGTTCTTTATTTCGTAAATTACGGTTTCATATTTTTAATTTTATAATTTCTGCATGCCATTTTACCAGATTTAAACTGATGATCTATAATCCGGAAAAATCGATAATCCGGAACCGCCAAAGTCCAGACGAGTCCGGATTAACGACTTTTGACTGTATATGTTACATTTGAGGAGAAATACAAAAACACCCATGCAGCCAGCCTATTCGCCTAAAATAGAACCTAGGTCAGAAATATCACTTGGCCACTGGTGGGCTTTAAATTGAATATGTATTCATTGTTAAGATGAGGGTGGGAATCAGGAGCGGTGTCTCCATTTTATATGAGTGCTGCCTGTACAAAAAATATGAAGCAGAGTAGTTGAAATTACAACATTTGCATTTATGTGTGTTCTTTTAGTTTCATATAGTAATGCAGTATGAATGGAATTATATGTTCTTGTAAATATTATAGTGTAGAAGTTATTACTTTATAAACGATTTTTATTGTATTTTGACATGTATGTAAATATTTATACAAAGGTAATGTCCTGTTTTGAAATATATTGGTATTTTTAATGTCAGTAGGTAACTGAATTTTTTTTTTTTACTTAATTGTTTAATATTGTGCTTTTGTATATAGGTTGTGTAATGATATTAATAGGAGAAACTAAACAATTCTGTACCAGGGTACGTTGTATATAGAGTTAAAAACATCTCTTATTTGTCAGAGTAATACTGCATATGTTCCTAATTTTTAATTGAGCGTAGTTTAAATTACGTAACTTAAATATGTTATTAAAAGTAATTATTTAAATTTATTTATTGCTTTTAAATCTTAAGCAAATGATTCTAATTTGGAAGTTAAAGATCTTGTGTTGCTTTGAATGGTAACAATCCGAGAACTGGTTATTTGCCAGGTCACGGAGTAGATAATTTAAAGATCTTTTATTTGTGCAGTGATAATACTTTCCATTGTATGATATGAGAGCTTTAAGTATAAATGACATACAACACAACATAATGTAAATTGAAAGCCCCAAATTAGGAAAGACTGAATTGAAGATGTTTCTGACGTCAGAACATCTCATATTGAAAGGGAAAAGTTAATTGATTTGAAATTTTAAATTTAGGTTACTGCATGATTTAACAGATATTATGTTTTATTGAAATTTAAAAAAAAAAATTTTTTTTGGTAGGCATATTATGTGTTGAAGGCATTGCTGGTGGTTCTGTACATATAGATTACAATTGTGTTCCATCTGTTATATACACACATCCTGAAGTTGCTTGGGTTGGAAAAAGTGAAGAACAGCTGAAAAAAGAGGTAATTTATATTTATTGCACTATGCAAGTTTTAAAAATATCTCCCCAAAAAACTTACCTTGTGACCCCCTCAGATGAAAACCTTTGGGGTGGGGGATTGCAGGTATGAGTTTACAGAAAAATGTGTATTTTTAATGTATTCTTTTATTTTATTTTTGCTTTTTAATATATTAAGAAAATGTCTTATTATGTGTAATTGTTTTACTTCTAAGTATCATCTTCATTTTGTAAATTCTGCATTTCTGAGCCAATGTGCACCAACATTGTTCCTCAATAGCCGAAAGCCTTTCTATATGTATTTAATAGTCTGTGGGGAAAATATAGCAATTCAGATTTACATTCACCATCTGCATTATCTGATCCTGTGATTTATTTATAAAAATCACAATAGCAAGCTCAATAAAAAAATAATAATAATAATAAAAAAAAGAAACCTTTTAAATTCCATTGGCAAGTTTGTTCAAAGTACAGGTATACTTATTGCTTTCAAGTGAAAACACTTTTTGTCCGTAAAATAACACATAAAGAATTTTCACTGTGTAATGTCTGTACTAATTACTGTGTCAGAATCCTGTTTTTGTTTCAAATCTGCAACTTGCTGCTGTTGTTGGAATGCTTATTTCCAGTGTATGTTTATATAATGTACGTTATTGAGTTATAGAGATACATGACAGTTTTATCAGGATTCATAGTTTTGATTGAATAAAAATCGCTTACCTCTTCTGATGCCCAGTTGAAAATGTGGTTGTTTATATCTACAATTTTAGAAGCTATTTTGAAATGAAATCATTCTATTGGCAAACAAAATATAACGTGTAACGCCTAGAAAAACTTTCTCTAAGTTTATTGATGCTTAGGACTTAAGAGTTACTTTTATGCAGTAGAATTATGATGGACCACTAATTAGATGCAGATACTGGAATTCTGTTGTACTTCCTGAGCAGAATATACAGCTAACTTGCTGTACATATCATATTTCAGATGTTACAGAATAGTGCTTCTCAACATTTTTTGGCCCCAAAACCTGTGAAATTTACGCAAACATTTCAGAGACTGGTGGGTTTCCCCTTCCCCCCAAAAAAATACTTTACCAGGTTCAGAAGTCAAACAACAAAAATCAGCGTTAATTCACAAAATTTTCACAGGACTAGTTTCGATGGTTTTACCGAACCATCATCTTCAGCTGCAAAACCGCAAATGAACAAGATAGGAAAAAATGTTTAGATAAGATAAGTACGCCTGGACAAGAATAAGCAAGTGGCGCCATCTGTTGGCGAAACCAGAACTAAAACATAATTTCTCTAAAAGCCGAAGGCAAATTTGGATTGGAATTAGGATCGTTAACTAGAAAAGAAAGATTTTTATGAATGTGAAATGCCTCTAGAAAATCCAGTTCTCCAATGGAAGATGTTTTTTGAATAATTTTGGCAGCAGAAAAATTGAAAGTGTGATTTTCGGACCAACAATGTTGAGCAACAGAAGACTTCTGTGTTTCCTTTTTTCTAACATATATGCCTCATGTTCTTTGACGCGAAATTTTTAAGGCTCTCTTAGTTTGGCCAATGTAAATTAAACCGCACTGGCAAGGAATCCTATAAATACCCCAGGAATTCATATCCGGAATGGGGTCCTTGAGTATAGAAGTTGGAATTTTATTGATGGGAGAGTAAACAACCCGAAAGTTAAATTTCTGCAAAATATGTGCAACTTTATAGCTAATTGATGGAAAGAAGGGAATGACAAGAGAATTTTTATAATCTCCTAAAATAAGAGTGTGGCTTTTAGTGTGTTGAGATGAGAATTTTTTAACTGCTTGATTAATAATGTTGGGTGAAAAGCCCCTGTCAATAGCTATTGCTTTTAAATAATTTAGTTCTTCATCAAGGGCTAGTTTGGAGGAGCAAACTTGAAGAGCACGGAAAACATAGGAATAAAATGAAGCTAACTTTTGTTTAGTCGGATGACATGATTTAAAGTGTGGTGGAAGGCAAACCGATGAAGGTTTACGGTAAACTGTAGTACTGAAGTTGGATGTGTTACGTGTGACCAGAATGTCGAGAAACGGAAGAGAATTGCAAGTCTCAAATTCAAAAGTGAACTGAATAGCAGGATCAATAGAATTCATTGTTGAAAGAACTCTATTTAAATCATCTTTATTACCTTCAAACAGGGTAAAAGTATCGTCTACGTAGCGGAACCATGCCGGGAAGTTTAAAGTTTCAAACAATTTTGATTCATAATAATGCATGTAGATATCAGCCAGGATGGGACTGAGGGGGCTTCCCATGGCTAATCCCTCAGTTTGCTTGTAATATTTATTTTGGAAAACAAAATGTGTTTGTTTCAAACAGAGTTGAGTGAGAGAAATTAGCTCATCACTTTCGATGCAAGAGAAATGAAATTCGCGAAGTCTGGTTTCTAGACATCTTAATGCACCCTCCACTGGGACATTGGTGAATAATGATTTTACATCAAAAGAAACCATGAGTAAATTACGAATAAACCTTTGAAACCAAATCTAACTTCGAGAGAAAAAGCTACAATGCGCGAGATTCATTCTAACCTGGATATTGTCATTTCAAAGGCCGACAAAGGTGGCCAGATAGTCGTCATGGATAAGAACACTTACATCGATGGTGTCACTAAACTCTTAAACGAAGGACCATATAATCCGATCCCTAAAGATCCTTCACCTTCGGACTTATCCAAAATAAAAACTGCGATCAAATCTTCGCAAATCATTTCAAGCAACTTAAAACATTCGCTTATCCCATCTGTTGCGAATTGTGCCAGATTATATGCTCTTCCCAAAATTCATAAAAGTGGTATTCCTTTCCGCCCTATTGTATCAAATTTAGGTACTGCCTCGTATCCATTAGCTAAATATTTAGTTTCTAGATTTTCCACTCTATTAGACAATAACATTTACACCATAAAAAAATTCAATAGAGTTTGTAAAAAAGGTTAAAAACATTTCTCCTCGTAATTTACTCATGGTTTCTTTTGATGTAAAATCATTATTCACCAATGTCCCAGTGGAGGGTGCATTAAGATGTCTAGAAACCAGACTTCGCGAATTTCATTTCTCTTGCATCGAAATTGATGAGCTAATTTCTCTCACTCAACTCTGTTTGAAACAAACACATTTTGTTTTCCAAAATAAATATTACAAGCAAACTGAGGGATTAGCCATGGGAAGCCCCCTCAGTCCCATCTTGGCTGATATCTACATGCATTATTATGAATCAAAATTGTTTGAAACTTTAAACTTCCCGGCATGGTTCCGCTACGTAGACGATACTTTTACCGTGTTTGAAGGTAATAAAGATGATTTAAATAAAGTTCTTTCAACAATGAATTCTATTGATCCTGCTATTCAGTTCACTTTTGAACTTGAGACTTGCAATTCTCTTCCGTTTCTCGACATTCTGGTCACACGTAATACATCCAACTTCAGTACTACGGTTTACCGTAAACCTTCATCGGTTTGCCTTCCACCACACTTTAAATCATGTCATCCGACTAAACAAAAGTTAGCTTCATTTTATTCCTATGTTTTCCGTGCTCTTCAAGTTTGCTCCTCCAAACTAGCCCTTGATGAAGAACTAAATTATTTAAAAGCAATAGCTATTGACAGGGGCTTTTCACCTAACATTATTAATCAAGCAGTTAAAAAATTCTCATCTCAACACACTAAAAGCCACACTCTTATTTTAGGAGATTATAAAAATTCTGTTGTTATTCCCTTCTTTCCATCAATTAGCTATAAAGTTGCACATATTTTGCAGAAATTTAACTTTCGGGTTGTTTACTCTCCCATCAATAAAATTCCAACTTCTATACTCAAGGACCCCATTCCGGATATGAATTCCTGGGGTATTTATAGGATTCCTTGCCAGTGCGGTTTAATTTACATTGGCCAAACTAAGAGAGCCTTAAAATTTCGCGTCAAACAACATGAGGCATATGTTAGAAAAAAGGAAACACAGAAGTCTTCTGTTGCTCAACATTGTTGGTCCGAAAATCACACTTTCAATTTTTCTGCTGCCAAAATTATTCAAAAAACATCTTCCATTGGAGAACTGGATTTTCTAGAGGCATTTCACATTCATAAAAATCTTTCTTTTCTAGTTAACGATCCTAATTCCAATCCAAATTTGCCTTCGGCTTTTAGAGAAATTATGTTTTAGTTCTGGTTTCGCCAACAGATGGCGCCACTTGCTTATTCTTGTCCAGGCGTACTTATCTTATCTAAACATATTTTCCTATCTTGTTCATTTGCGGTTTTGCAGCTGAAGATGATGGTTCGGTAAAACCATCGAAACTAGTCCTGTGAAAATTTTGTGAATTAACGCTGATTTTTGTTGTTTGACTTCTGAATCAGTATTTATTCGGCGTGTTATTGTGTGTTAACTTTACCAGGTATTCAAGAATTACTACATAAGTTCATTGTAACATTCTTATTATCATTTGCCTACAATAATTTTTAAATGTAAAGATTAGTAAATATTGTAATTATTATACATAAGTATAATTATCATATACAGTACAAAGTCCATTATCCAGAATGATCTAAAATCCGGACCTCAAAGCCACAAACTGTTTTTTTATATATATATGCTTTACGCATACGCATTTGATTTTTCCTTCCATAATAAAACAAGTGGAGATTTTCAATTAAAAATTCCAATTCTTAATTTTACTTAGGCACTAAATAAAATACATCGTTATGAAAAAACAAACATGTAAGCATATATTTGCGAGATTAATAATTAGGCTCCGGAGCGGAGTCAAAGGATGTATATGTAAAGAAGGAAAGGCTCCATAGGTGTAATGTAAACCAGTTTGTCTTCTATGCCGCTAGAAAGAAGAGGGAAAATTTGCCAAGGTATTGGGTGATTCTACAAAGCGTCCATTAAACAAAAAGTGGATGTCCATTAAACAAAAAATGGAATTGCTGCAAAAAATGGATAAAATCACATCCATCTCAAAATTATAACG